CGACGAGAGGGTTCGGATGAACTGCTGCTGGCTTGTGAAAGTAGAGCCCCCGCCGGTTCGCTGCGTCTGCGCAATGCTCTTGGAGACGTTGAAGTGGTGGCAGACTGCACTCGCCGGGTGCTGGAAGCAGCAGCGCGAGTTGTAGCCTCGTCGAGGTACGGTCGAGGCAATGGGAAAACGCGGGGCACAAGGCCGTTCTGGGTGAGTGCAGCGACTCGCTGCGGGTCGACAGAGAAGCAGTTGGGATCCATGGCGCCCATGGGAATCCGCCCACGGTTCTTGAAATAAGAGTCGATCGGCTTTGTCGGCGTGTGGCTCCCGGTACGAGAGGCCGCCATCGCAGCTGTCGAGGCGGTAGGGGAGGCTGTAGGGCGTGCCACCGTTTGAGAGTGGCGACGCTTCGACTCGGGCATCGCAGCAGGGATGATGGGCAGCTTGGTCATTGGGTTCAGATGTCCGGTCGCTACACCCCTCGCAATGGTAGGCTCGACAAATGCGCCAATGAAGGGCATATCATTGACACCCTGTCCTTCCTCTGGCTCTGTCAAGAAAACAAGTTCCTTCTTTTTGGGACAGTAGACTCGTTGGTACAAGAATGTCAGCTCGGCTTTGGTAAAGTTGGCAAGATAGTCCTCCGACACACGATGCTTTGCTTCGAACTGCATCATGCGGACGAGACGTTCAGGTGTCTTGTGCTGTCGAACCATGCGGTATGCCGTCTTCAAGCCCATATTACTAACACCGGCAAGGTAATCACAGCCGCTCAAGATGGCCATGCGTCGAAACTCTGCGTCCGTCCATCCAGTAAGGGACACCTCTCGGCAGGCGGCAAAGTCACGGCGGTTGATTTCGATGCAGTTGCCGTACTGGTCGAGCTTGGTCAACAATCGCTTGCAGCCAAACACCAGTAGATCAGAGTCTTCTGACAAGATACCACCGATGATTCCCTGACGTTCGAGGTAGACGAGCTGCGAGTCAGCCTCGTATGGTGCCACGACGTACTCGACGTGGATCTTCTTGAGCTCATCGATGAGGTTGCGAGCCATCTCGGGGGTTACGTCAATCGATTTTTGAAATTCCGCAAAGGCCTGTGAATTTTTGCCGGCTTTAAGCAGTTCCATTCCCAGCTTCTTGCTATCGTCTCTGCGTTTGGCACGAGAGCCTTCAGTCATCGCTTTGCTGGGGAGGAAGTCGCCGTCGAAGACAAGATAAGGCGTGACACCGAAATGGCGCAGCATTCGTACACGGTGCATGGCGAAATCGACATATCTATTACCATCGAATTAGCAAGGCGGAAAGGGTAAGGCGAGGAATGGCGTGACTGACTTGCGGGTGGGCTTGCCTTGGGCAAGCTCGAGGGCACAGGCGATGGCCCCACGATGAAGCCAGCCATAGGCATCGACACCAAGCGTCTCGCCGGCGAGTTTCTTCAATTCAGTTGGTTTGTGGATTGACTTGAGCAAAGGAAGTAGTCCTGTGGGAGGAAAACGTTAGCATCCTTGGTCTCGAAGGTAACTGATGCCTTGAGAGCAGGATTGAACGGTGCGGGGCCTGTATTACCAGAGACGCCCATTGTCACGACTGACAAGCCCAACAATGACGCAGTCGTATGTAAAATAGGCAGTCGAAAGGACCGATGCCCAGTGGCGCAAGGCAAGCAAGCCTACAATGCACGAACAACAAATCAAAGATCCATCCGATGTCGTCAGAATCGTGATTCGGCAGGTCTCGTTGCGGGTGTCTGAACGGCCGAGGTCGAGATGGGAATTGATTGTTATGGTCTACGCGAGCTGGAGGATCCGAAAGTAAACAAAGATGCAGAGGCGAGACGAATGTGGCGGATGGCGAAGGCGAATGCGCTCAAGTAGACAAAGTACTGAAGATGAAGGAGAGCTGGAGGTTGGAAAATACCAGAAGCAGCAAGAGGCAGGCCAGTTGATCAGGAGCTGGCGAAGTCTTGGATGTAGTCTCACCACGAATGTTGGAACGCGGGTCTCATCGCGTCTGCGGGTCCCATCTGAAGGCTCACCCACGGTCCATCGCGCCTGGCGTCTGGTCGTGTGGAGTGTGAATTCCTACGCGACCTCGGATGGGACTAGCGCGTGTGCACGGTCCACACGAGAAGCCGCAGCGTCATGTCAAGTGCTACCCGCCGCAGAGAAGCCTTCTGTCGCTATCGCATCTCTTATCGCCCCGCATCTGCAGAACCCCACCAGAATTTTCAGATCCCTGAGATCTTCACCGTCCATCTCACCTCATCGAGGACGCCCTGACGACTTTTGACGTTGACGGAGCTTGCGATTCACGTGAAGCTGTCTACCAATCTTCTCTCATACAATCACTTGGTCTAATAACTCCCTTGACGCCATGGCGAAGACGCTTGAGAAAACCCGCAAGCAGATTGCGAAGAAGCGCAACGGCACCGTAGAGGCCCTCCATCTGTATTCACGAGACTCCAAGCGCCTCCACCGTGCTTCTGTGAGAGATGAGAAGCTGGGAAAGCTCGCCTCGTCACGAGGCAAGAAGGAACAGCCACTCCGTAAGCAATTTCAATGGCACGCTAGGACAAGTTCGCGGCTGATCAGAAACCTCGTGTCCAGTCGACCGTGCCAACTTCTTCAGGGATGCCGTCATGGAAAGGGGTACCAAGCCCCTAGAGATGGGTGTTGTCCAGGAGCTCATCAACTCGTATGTCACTCTCAGCCACTTCCAGCTGAGCCTGCTTCGCTTCTGTTTGGCCGCGTTCCTTTCTAACGACCTTCAGGTTTGTTCACCAGCATGATGAGGAGCACAGTGAGGTCAAGAAGACTCGCCGCCCCGGTCGCCCAGCCAGTGCCCGACAGGACCTCCTCGAGGCAAAGATCAAGAAACTGTTGGAAGAACAGAAGAACGGCTTCTGTGAGTGATTCGGCAAGAGCAGTCATACTCCGTTGTTGGCTAATTGTTTCTCAGTCATGCCTGATCTCACAAGCGACGACAACGTTCATTTGCTGGATCGTTGGGAGGGCTCCTGGGCATACCTCACATCCGTTGCCTGGGTTCGCGTGGCTTCTGACAAGACAGTCAAGCCTGCAAGCTTCCCTCCCATGTGATGATGACGTGGCAATTCATCGGCAGAGCTCATGCATGCATTTAGCGATTGGCGTTATGGTTTTCTGCTTTTACAATGATGGGATACTTATCTTCGACTCACATTCTCGACTCCAGGGGTGGTTTCTCGTCGGCTCTTCCAGCTTGCATGTTCTGTGTTTTGGCGAACCGCAAGTGGCGTTTGGACTACGGGAGTCTGGGCCCCGGCACGGGTCGAGCGTCGACGGCCCGACCTTTCGGCTACGTGCCGCTGCCTCGCATCCTCGGCGGCAGGGCTAGGCAACGAAGCAGGCCGGCATCCTTTGTTGGTCCACTGGATTCTTTGCCCCTCAGCCATGTCTTTCGGTCGAGTTACACCTATTGATGATGTAATAGATCGCCTGGTATAGCTTCGTTGCGTCGTCTTTTGTGGCTGTCCCAGAACCTTACTGCTCACGGCTGGCTACACCTCATCTTCAAATTTCATCCGATCAAAATGATCCCAAGGGTTTAGCCAAGATTCCAAATGACGAGACGAACCTTTCTATCGTACCCAAGACATCTGGCCATCTCACCCGTCTCTCCACCCAGCGGCTACCCCTGAGATGCCATGCTTGTGTCACCTACCCCGTCCGTGGCTTCACGCTGCTCGCCGTCCATCCCATCCGTGAACCCCCTTAACAGTGCCTGCTTGTAGCTGCAAGCAGGCACCCATACGAGCCGGCCACGTGTGGTGTTTTCTGAACCTCGATCTGCCCAAGATGACGGAGCTGGCGTCTCGGGCTGCCGGCCGGTCATTCAGCCTGTCTGGCAATAAGTACCTCCTTGTCGCATACTTAAACAGAGCGCATCTCCAGCCCGGGAACCAGAGTGCTACATCACACAGCTAGGGGCCCGAATCCTCCTCCAACCCCGGCCTCAGGTTGATGCGGATACACACCTCAGCGTTGCTGTTAGTGGGGTTCCTCTGCTTTTTTATCGGCGTCAAGTGTTGTGCAATCAGATTTGATGCGCTGTTTTATCTAAATCTCTAAGGAGAGAGAAAGAGGGGTCGAAGCCTGTTGGTGAATATCTCTCACCACCACATTTGTCAAATTCTGGTTCGTCAGCATGAAGATGGAACCCTCTCCAGTGACCATTTGAGGTTTCTGTAAGACAGGATGGACTGCTACACACGCAGTGTCGATCAAATATATCTGAGGACGGATCTACACCGTCAGGCAATTGCACCCTCAGACCCCACAGCTCTCAACCCACTCGAGAACCTATGGTCGTCGATCCTCACTGTTCATCAATAATCCAAATCAGTGGCCCTGAAAGTATGACCCGCCGGTTCCTTGCCAAAGCGATAGAGTTTGTAGATCAAGGGCACTAACTCGCATGGCAGATCATGTGCAAGTACATCACACACCTGCGAGTCTGCTACGTCTGCCGTCATGAAGAGACGGTTCTCATTACCGAGAGCCCGTGCCCGCCGCTGAGGGGGAGAGGTGCGTTTGGCAGCTGCCAGACCGGGACCGGCAACAAGACAACATGCACTCCGTTCCAATGCTGGAAGTGCAAGGAGAGAGTGCATCGCATATCACAAGTCAGATCGCCGCGTCATGTATCATTGCGTTGACTTCTATAACGTGCCTCAATACAACAAGCATGATCAAGTGACGCTGTTCAACCTAAATGAGGTAGCGAAGGAACACTGCCCAGGCGCTGACAATGATGCTCACAAGGAGCCCGAAGGTCAGGGCAGTGAACCAACCCTTTGACGTCCTCTTCGTCAGAGGATTCAAGTCCCTGTCGACGACCAACGTCTCGGCCGCCTCCCGGCTTCGGCGGGTCATTGTCATGCCCTTGCCGAGAAATTTGTAATCGACAACAATGTATGAGATGCCCAAGACGAACGCCCATGCCTTGATGCCTATGGCGACAAGCAGGACTCTGTTGTAGCCACCACCGTCTGTTCCGTCTTGGAGAACACCAAAGACAACATCCATCTGGCTTTTGCGTTAGCGTTGACCGTCTGTTTGTGACCCGACTCGGCAAAGACTTACGATGGTGGATCCGGAATTGTTGAAGGCTCGCCAGACTCCAAAGGCTGTGCCAATTTTTGCTTGGTCTGCCACGAGGAGAGGAATGCAGATCTGCAGCGGCATCGAGTTGATGACGCCCGCCAGGCTAGAGAAGACCAGTCCCACGGTCGGGTGCGCGTCGGTGAATCCCAAGATAGAGCATGCGATGATCCAAAAGACCGGGGCTGTGGCGACGTAGTGGAAGCGGTGACCGTACGTATCGATGGCGAGACCGAGCACAGGGCTGAGCACGATGGGCAGGATCTTCTGCGCCGTGGCCAAATAACCGGCCACCTCCTCAGTGTACCCCTTCATGAAGATGATGTCTGCGGAGCTCGTGCTGAAGCCTCCAGCTGCTCCGCTTTGCAACAGCTGGGTTGCCGGGAGCATGAGGTAGGCCCACGGAAGTTGGAAAAGGACGTTCCAGGAGAACCGCTTCTTGGTGTGAAGGTGTTGCTTTGAGATAGCTGCGGCGCGACCGGACGTCAAACGAAGATGCTGGGGGATGACGAATCGTTCGAAACAGACGTAGGCGACGTTGACAAGAAGTGAGAATGCACAGAAGAATACGGGAATCCAAAAGGTCCAACCATACCAGCCGGTGCCGTCGCGAATGGGGATTGCAACCATGCCAGATACGAGACTGATGGTGTTGGCGATGGCGCTCTCTAGGCCAAACGCAAATGCAAGTCCAGAGGCTCCAAACCAGTGGTAGAAAAACTAGGCAGGACGTCAATGTGGGAACCGAGACTGGGATTGTTTGTTGAAGATGGGTAATTACCTTCTGAGTGGCCGAATCGAGGACTGCGATTCCAAAGCCCATCAAGACATGACCGCCGACGAGCACCCGCCAAAGACCAACTTGGACACCGGCAGCAGCAACAACTGATCCCACCAGGATGACGGTCGTGCAACAGAGTGTTACAATGTTGGGTCCCCACCAATCGAGGATGAGGCCTCCCACAATGGGAAAGATGGTGTTGACGAAGGCATCTGCGCTGCTAAGCACACCAAACTGTGTGTTGTTGATGCCGAGTTCTTCTCGAAGGGTGTTCTTCAGTGGGCCAAGTGCCGAGCCAGTCCAGGTGTGGCCGATGGGAAGGGAGATGACACAGACGAGGGCAATCCACTTGTAAGTCCAAGGGATCTGGGGGGCAACATTTTGATCGTCATCCTCTGCGCCATTGACCTCGACAACCGGCTGTTTCGTCTCCTCGTTGTGAAGATCGCCACGGATCTGCTGTGAAGCGACGGCGTCCATCCTGATTCCTAGCACAACGTCGTGGGGCTATGGCTGCACCTGGGCTAAGGATGACCAGGAGGCCAAGTGTCTGGAATTGTAAGGCCTATTGTCAATTTATACTCGATCTGAAGAAGCAATACGAGCTCCGCTAGGCTTGCAAAATCACGCAGGTTTTGCATTCAATATCAGTGCAAGTGATCAGATAAGATCATCTTTGGCGGGCTTTCTTGCAGACATCGGTGTTCTTGCCGCTCTTCATCTTATCAGATGATTCTGGACGTCTTGGCACACCAATTCACAACCAATCTTTCGTGTCGTAGTCTTAAGCTTTTTTTGACTTTGTGGATCGAATCCATTACTGGCGTCGGATGGATGCCGCTTGCATTGTGGCAGTGCTAGAATACCGCGAAAAATCCACCCGGACAACGTACGCACGGGACTGAGGACCTGGATCACTAGCCCGTCCACCGCATATTCCCGGACGGGCCCCGTGTTTCTATCTACGTTCGCCCTCTCGTTTCGGCTGCCCAGACTTACGATCCCAGTTCGAGTCCCAACTAGAGCTTCTGCAACTCAACGCCAAGCTCAGCCGACAACAAGGTGCGAATTGTTATGGTACCATGAGGGGCAGACCATGCCGCAAGTTCACGCGAGGAGGCCCATCCACGAGCCTATTACTGCCCTACGTTTAGAAGCACCCCGCTTGTGATAAATTTTCATTCGTCGAATGGACGGTCTGGTCTCGTTTTGCGGTTGAGATGCGGCTCTTGTTGAGGTTGCTGATTAATGTCTGGACAGAGTCCAAATGTTGCCTTTGTTTCGAGACAGAGAGGCTGGATGTCTAGCACCTGGAACAAGGGCTTTTCTTTAATCTGCCTGAGGATTTTTGATCATTTGAGAATCTGCGAGCATTCATCTGCTAGGCTACTTTCAATTTATTGGCTACACCTTCGGCGACAATCTCGGAATGCCCTAACTTATTGCAGAACTAAACCCGCGGTCTTCAAGGCGCCGCTTTCTCTGATCATGAGATAGAAACTCGGAATAATTTACTTCGTTGAGGTCAGCTACGTAACTTGAATCAGAGTGAGCCTAAAGAAATGCATTTCATTATATGGCCAGTTGAGAATGCAAATGAGGGTTACTTGCCCTTGATAGCCTTGTCTTCCCACATTGTGTTGGTCTTGGTACGAGATTTCTGTGTGAAATCGCAACGCCTAGTCCTTTGGGCTATACGAGCAAGCTGTTACAGCTCTGGTCGAGGCTACGTGCATGACTCGATGGTCAGGAAATCGGGCCTTCACAATCTGTACCCTTCTATCAAAATATGATGTGTGCTTAAAGACTTATCTTGCAATTGCTCAAATGTATGGACTCGATCTAGTAACTCAAGAAGCTACATGACCATGATTGATAGAGTACATGCATCGAAGCATGATGAGGCTTTGTGAGCCCTGGCTAGCATCTCGCCCCCTCTTTCCCTTTCCCAGATCTTGACCTAAATGACGCGCAGGCGTGAGGAAAGCATGCATGAGTGTATTAATTCAAGACCTGTCATGATATCTAGGGAGGATGCTGAGTTAGCTCTTTGTGTCGTATCCGCTGTTCCCGGTGTACCCCAGACACTACGCCAGCAGAATTCGAAAATCTGCGTCGGAGCTTTGAGCAAGCCTCGGGTTCAACATGGCTAGCGCCTCCGAGGGTTGCGTCCGCCTCTTCGACTCAAGTAATTTTGCTAGACTTCATTGATGTGCCATATGTAAAATACCTTTTATAGATGGCTGCGTCCCTACTAGTGGTCTGTCAAGGCAGTCAATCTATATGGCTGACCTGGCCAAAACAAGGACAATGGCGTTCTAGCGCTGGCCTCATATCTCGAGAATGTAGTAGTTGAAAAGGTAAAGGCCCTATGCGCCAAGAATTGCTACTCACAATCGAAGGAGCCTACTCAAGTGCCACTTTTCCACGATAGAACATAGCAAAGATTGCGCCAGCCTTCTTACCACATATTTCTTAGGCTCGACTGCATTAAGACACCAGTACCACTATGGCCTTGAGTATGTAATTCCTCGTCTTAAATCTTGTAAATCCTAGGGACACCGCATGCATTACCCTAGTCTATTAGAACTTACCTTTCAACCCAGTCTTTTGGTATTGTCGGGGTTGCCAGCAGATCAAATGAAACCACAGCCTCCGTATTTCGTGAGATCACTATTGGAAGCGGGCTCAAAGTTAGCAAGCTTTGAAACATTGCCATAGATATGCTGTGCAGCCTGGAACCTTCTTGTACATCTTTCAGCCGACGGTCTGGTAACATGACATCAGACAGCCTGATCGAAGCCTCACAACGGAGGATATTTGTCGGGACCTGAAGGAGATATGACACCAACAGGGGATCACCCGGTGTTTGATCATAGAAACAAGAAGAGAGGACCGAGCGCAGCGAGGGAATAGTTATAAGGAAGGTCAACAGACTAAGGTTTAGAGGAGGGCATCGATGATTCTATCTTCCTAGCTACCCCCAAGAGACCAGCAGTTGATCCCTTCACTCGTTGCATAAGACTCCTTGACAACATTTGTCCAACCGTTAATGGTGACCACTTGTGCTGCCGACGATAGTGGCAGGGAGGACGTACCGAGATGTTACCAAAGAAGAATGCGATACAGAATAGAAGGTAGCCGACGTTGTGTGAAGGCAAGAAATGTCTGACCTCCAGACACCTTCAGCACCAGGCCGCTCGACACTGCTCCAAGACTTCGACCACCTCATCGCGTTTTATTTGTTTCATTCTCTGCAATGATGGCACTAGATCTGATAGAAGTCTGCACAAATTCCACTCAACGGAGACGATCATCTACATGCCAAGTCGATCGAACCTTCCCCAAGAAAATGCCCAGTCGCGAGCAGAGAAAGCAACGTGGACACAAAAACACCACATGCGAGAAAAGAAGTCCATCGCCCAGTGTGGACTCTAACTTACCCCTGCCCAAGGGGCCCACGCTTATCTTCGTATCCCCCTGCGGGCGAGCGGCGCAGACTGGGAGCATCGCCCAACGGCGCAGCACGACCCTCGACCCCCAGACTCGACCGATTTAAGAGTGAGGCCAGTTTACCTCTAACTGGGATAAATGCCGTGGCCCCCGGAAGACGACCTCCATGTCTCGTGTATAAGTGAGGCCCTCAAGGAAGAACATGAAGGACTAGATGACACCCCGGATATAATCCGATAATGTCATTAGAATTCTTCATTCTTGATATCGTGGCACCGTTGCAACGAAGGATCTCCCGAGTTCCCAATGGATCAGCGGGGCGGAGCCGGATCGCGCTCTGACGAGAATGAGCATGCAGATTTCGAGGCCACCAGTCAAGTGTCCTCGTCTGTGCCCCCTCCGTCGCGATGTACGTCACCTGAGGCGCTCCTCTGCATCTTTCTCGTGTATAATCCGCCATGTTCGAGCTGGCTGGCGTTTGAGCTGCTGGGTGTAGATTTCCGGGTGGTGTGCAGCGATCAAAGGGGCCTCGGCGGGCGCTTCTGGACAAGGCCGCGTGTCTAGTAGAGCTCCCCAGCAAGAATGCTTCAAGAAAAAATCGAAAAGACCAGCAAGCAGAAAATGGGCGTCAGATTCGATCTCCTGACTGTATATGTGTACAACAGTAGTAGTAGTAGTAGTAGTAGTAGTAGTATCCGTGGGGATGAGGAAAACAATGCCGCGCAACTCCAAGCCGGAAACCAAAAGTGACCGAACATTCTAATACAGGTATCTCGCCATGTCCCCGATGTATGCTTTCCTAAAAAAAAAAAGTCCCAATTCGTGCGCGAGTCAAAACGCCGTTTTCTCTCCTCTTTCGAACGGAAGGACCGACTCGCCACAGGCAAGCACGCCGAAGCTTCCTCCCTCGCCCTTCTACCCTTCCGACCCCGAAAGAAAAACGCCTTTTCTTGCTCCGGAAATAGTTGAGAGATCAATTGTGTGAACGTTGTTGTTTTTTCTTCTCGTATCATGTCTCAATGTCGCTCAAGTCGGCCAGTATATCCTTCAACTGCTTGTCCATATTGCCCTGCAGCGGGTGAACAAAGGCGTTGAAGACGGCGTCGTGGTGGTTGTCCTTGGTGTTGCGCATGAGACCCTGGGCGACCATTTTGTGGAGGTACTCGACAGTGACGCCCTTGTGGCCCCAAAAGTGGCTGACAAAAGCACCGAGGCACTTCTTGTCGCCGAGGTAGGCGGCGCCGTTGCCGTCGCCGCAGGGAATGACGCGCAGGTCGTCAGTTGTGTTGTAGGCGTAGCGGATGTAGTTGCCAAAGGCGGCCTGCTCGTGCGCCCACTCCTTGGCCCACTTCTCGCAGCCGGGGAAGCGCTCGCCCGTGGGGCACTCGTCCCAGACCTTGAACATTTCCTGTGTGCGCTGGCTCTGCTGGGCGACGACGAAGCCGTGTTCCAGAGCACCCAGCCCTTCTCGTCGCGGTTTACAGGCGAGTTAGGATCCTCGGCCATGGCAACGAGGGTGCCGTCGGTGATGTTCCAGAGGCCGAGGAGGAACTCGATGGGTAGCTGCGGCTGGACGAAGATGGCATCGGCATCGAGGAAGACGACAAACTTGTGCGTCTTGAGCTCCTCGCGGATCATCGGGACCTTGACCCAGGTCTGGTGACGGTCGGGGTAGATGGGCGCCTTGACGAATTTGTAGTCGTAGCCATGGATTTGGGCTACGCAGAAAAACACACGTTAGCTGGAGCGCCAGGCGGAGGATCTGAGAGTGTGGTGGGCGGATCGTCAGATGTCAGATGCTGTCGATCGCCGAGAGGATCTGGGCAATCGATACAGCGTCGTATCAGTATCGGTCTTACCATAGATGTAGTGGTTCAGCATGCCCGCGGCGCGCGGGGGTCATGTTTTCCTTGTTGAAGATGGCGGGGCCCAAGGCCCTTGCCTTGTTGTCGACACGCGTATCGACATCGAGAATCAGGACGTCCTTGCCGAGCGGCTTCTGCCAGAGCTGGGAGCCGTTCGCGATCTCGTAGTATTTGCCCGAGTCGGTCGTGTAGTTGAGGCTGTCGAGGGGGTGTCTGTAGGGCTTCCAGAGGGCTGACACCAATTGGGAAAAGTCTTCGACGGCGGGAAGTGGTGACGAGTATTCGGAGTAGACGCTGTTGATGTTGTCAGAAACTGGGAGCGCCTTGGGATAATACGGGCCAGGAGAGTGCAAGGCCAGAGGAAGAGGGGGAAAAACCCCCCGTGGTCGTCTCAGAAGGGGGACGTACCGAGTGTAGACTCGATCAATGATCAAGGGTCCATGGCTGTGGGAAACGAGCAACAAAGAAATCAAAACAAAGGCGGTGCCGACAGAAATGACCAATGTCCTCTGCCTGCTGGCTTGGAAGAGAAGTTGGCGCATCATGATTGGTGATGGAGAGGGAAGGTACGGCCCTGAAGCAGGCAGGGACGAACTGGAAGATCGCAGGTTCAGCAAACAGAAAGGCACGAGTCCGAAAGCCTGTCACAGCGCAGGGCCAAGCTTTTGACTGCCAAAGCTTCTGTCTGTAAGGTACCTTAGGTAGGTACCATTAAGGGGGGGAGGGGCGGTCGAAGGGCGGCTGGCCTGCCTTTATCGCCTCTGCGACTGCCCATCCCATCCCGATCCTCCTCCCCCAAACCCCCCCTAAACCCCATCTCACTCGCCTGTTTGTTGGCTGCCTAAACTGCATTCAGCGCCCTCGTCTCGTCTCATCTGGCGTAGCCGTCAAGTCTGCTTTGCGCAAGCCAACCTATAGCTAACGCCGCAGACCAGCGCGCGATTGATGTTGCGACCCACACCCATGAACAGGGCCGGTGCTGGGCTAATGCTGGGCTGATGGCGTCTTCCCCAGCAGGGTGCATGCTATTTGCAGAGCGCCCCGGGCGGGTTTGTAACGACTCGATTTCCACGTCAAAGGGAACCTCCCGTACCTTGGGTGAGTAGTATGGAAAAACCAGCCTAGCGAATTCGTCGATTAATTCCTCACAGAAATACCATGATGACAGGCTGCCACTCACGGGCTGCCGCCGACATTCGCTCTGCATTCCAGGGTCCTCTGAAGCATGCACATGGATGAACGATGATACTCTCTGCAGCCAAGGGTGGTTCATTGCATCCATCTTCAGTGGCAGGCACCTTCCCAAGGTAGCATCAACTCGTGCCAACAGCGAGGAAAGGTGAGGGCCAACGGGAAACCCATGTGGGTCAGCCATTTGACGAAGCTGCCAGAGTACCAGCAAACTTTTCCCTTGCCCTGGACACTGACCGCTACCTTCAGGTTTGGAAAAGCAAAACACCGAAGATTGGGCGCCCAAGAACGAACAAGCGATGTACACAACCCATCCGGCCATGCCATTTGAATGGCGAGGCTCTTCTGATGGTTGGATGGAGCAAACACTCGACCCAAAGATACTTTGATCAAGGCGCTGCATCACTTTGGCCGTCACGACTCGAGCCAGCAGGCGATAGATGATGGCGCATCTAGTCGCCGATCGCCAAGACCGCCCACCCCCTGCAGCCACGCTCGACAGCGCTCCGCTCAGCACAGCGTTTGACAGACAAACTTTCCCATTTCGGCCCACCAACGATGACAGAGGAAACAGGCCAGACGTGTCAGAATGCCTGAGCTGCATCTACTGCTAGCTGCCACCGCAAGTCAAGAATGGTGATGTGGTAGCACGAGAAAGAAGAGCAGGAAGATGAAAAGAGATCAGAAACGAGCTTGCCCCTGTTTCCATCTGCCAGCGCACAGACGAGCGCCCGCATCGTCAGCATCCAGCCGGCCAGAGGCCCAACAGCAAGCAACAGGGAAATTATGTGCTCGACTGTACGTCCTATGAGCGTGAGAAGACCCTCGATCATTTTCTGAAGGGACCGGGGGTTCTTATCTTATCGTGCCGATATGCTGACGGCGTGGTACAGGGCCTCATTCGACCACACTGTGATTCGCTCGTCAGCCTCGAGCATATGGACAAAGGGGGCATCCTTGAGCTGCCACCAATACCGGCAAGCCCAATACTGCCTTTTTGCCACCTCCCCCTACCAGACTGCTTGAGTTCCATACTTGCAGGCTCCTCACTATCAAATGCCTTGCCTCAACTGCACCAGTCAATCATCGCGAGTGGGCGACATCGAAGTTTCGGTTGGCCACCCCCCTGTCCGTGTCTAGGTGACCCCACCCCCTTGTTATGTTATCTTATTTTGATGATTTTATTCACTTTCCCCGTTGTCCATTTTACCACATGCAAAAAAAAGAGCGATGGCGTTCGATGCTGGCAGCCGTCAGATTGGCCGCGAAACTGAAGTGCCGGGTCCTCCTGCGCTAGACCCTCCTGCGTGGTACACATCAATTTGGCTAAACAGCTCACCACCTACCCGAGTATGAGGCAATTCGGGCACCACTGGAACTGAAAAGGGGGTCTCATCACCAGGGTGCTCCTTTTGATGCACTGCTGCCTGCTGCCACCTATCCCGTCTCGAGAACAGTAGGATCGAATGCCTGCACAATTTCACGCCATTGAAAAGCCCGTGACCCCATGTCGGCGTGTCGGGCTTCCATATTTACAATGCAAGGGCGCGCGCCTCGTTTTGGTCCCTTCGTCAATGCTGCCAACGTTCAGGAAATGCGGTCGTGATTGTATGGACATGGGGGTCACGAGGCTTTTGAGAGTCCTGAGTGTCACAATGTCTACCGAGACAAGGGTCGCTGAGACTCGGAACACGCCAGGGTCCTCTAACCGACATGGGATTGTTTCCTTCTGTTGCTGAAGAAGAAAACTGCGCCACGTCCCTTCTTTCCCCTGTCCTGTCTCTAATGTTGCCATGCCTGACACTGACCCTAACATTCACGGGCGCTCAAGATGAATGTCAACTGCCGCTGTTGATGGACTGTCTTTTGGGAGCCGTTTTCCATCGGACTGTACAATGGAGCTTCCTTCACCTGCTGCCTTCCGTGTTGGTTGTTTCGATTAATGCCGTTTCACTTACAGTTCCGGGACCATGGCGGACGTCCCATACCAGACGTGCCGCCTCCCTACTACCTACCTATCATATGGCTAGCCCTTTCAGAGTCGACACCAACTCCCAGACCGCAACAATACACGATTGACGTCCATCAGCATCAACGCCGCTTCCTTGAACAGATCAACAGCCTTGGATATACCATACCTTCTCAGCCTCTCGATATGGCGAGTAATACATTTTACCCTTTCCGTCGTCTTCCATGAGACCACAAAAGGCCATCCAGGAGTTTTGCCGTTCGGCCCGTTAATTGAACCTTGGTTCACTGCTTTACCCTCTCCAACGAAACTGAACAGGAGTATTCGGATTTGAATAGCTACGATCTCAATGAAGACAGATATGCTTGCCTCTACCCCGGAGTCCCGCCAAATCATCATCGACATGAGCACGGCGGCGGCGGCGGTTTCCCGGCCCACCCTCTTGGATCAAGTGAGCCTTAGTGTCCGCTTGCGCAACACACATATTCACGGCTGCGAGTATCGGCTTCATGGTTTACCTGAATGCATTCTAGCTGCCACCTGGCTTTTGCCATACTACCTCCCCCCAGCCTCTCCTCATCAGTTACATCTTCCAAAATTCCGTTGACTGAGAGGGTGGTTAGCCGATGAACTAATAGCTGAGATCAGGCTGTCATAGACTTACCAACCAGATCCGCAGTGATCGCCCGTTGTCCCGCAGAAGCCACCGGAACTGCAGCATTGGTTATCGAAAGGACCACCAGCACATGTGAAGCCGCCTTTGCTAGCACCGCATGTGCCGTCATTGGTGGGGATGTTTCTCGTGAAGCATCCGCTCGAAGACCCGGTTTGACTGTTTAAGAAACATCAGTGAGACCTTCCAGCTACCTGCATAGCAAAGTAGAGGGTTCAAAACATACCAGCCCTGGCCGCAGTGGCTTCCAGTGCTTCCGCAATATCCAGTGCTGGAGCAGCACGTCCCGAACCCGGCCCCAACGCACGTCTTGCCGTTCCTCGAACCACAGGCACCGTCCTTGGAGAGACTGTCGGCCGCGCCGTTGCACGTCCCAAAAGACCCCTGGCAGCCCGTGCCGCAGTGGTCTGAAGACTTTCCGCAGAAATTGTTCGTCGAGCAGCAGTCTCCAAATGTCGATCCCTTACACGTCTTGCCGTTCTTGCCGCAGCTTCCATCCGTCGACACGGAGCCGGCACTGGCCGTGCAGGTGCCGAACGATGACTGACAACCGGCACCACAATGATCTGCCGACTTGCCACAGAAACCGGAAGACGAGCAGCAATCTCCAAACGTCGAGCCCTTGCACGTCTTTCCATTCTTCCCACACGCACCATCGGTCGAGATGCTGCCAGCCCCGGCCGTACACGTGCCGAAAAGAGTCTGACAGCCTGGCCCGCAGTGATCCGTTGACTTACCGCAGAAACCACCTGACGAGCAGCAGTCCCCGAACGTGGACCCTTTACAGGTCTTGCCGTTCTTTCCGCAGGATCCATCAGTGGAGATGTTGTCCGAACCAGTCGTTGTGCATGTGCCAAAGGAGGCTTGACAGCCGGTACCACAATGGTCCGTAGACGCGCCGCAGAAGCCCCCAGAGGAGCAGCAGTCGCCAAAGGTCGAGCCCTTGCAGACCTTGCCGTTTTTGCCGCAGCTGCCGTCCGTTGATATATTGTTACTGGCAGCGCCAGAACAAGTGCCCGCATTCGTCTGACAGCCCGCGCCGCAGTGGTCCGTCGACGCTCCACAAAAGCCGCTGGCCGAGCAGCAGTCGCCAAAGGCAGACCCTTTGCACGTCTTCCCGTTGCTTCCGCAGGTTCCGTCCGTAGAGATGTTATCTGCTGCAGCACAAGTGCCGAACCCGGACTGGCACCCAGCCCCCAGTGCGCGGTCGGCCTCCGCAGAACCCGCTCGAGGAGCAGCAGGTCCCCAAAGCTCGATCCCTTACAAGTTTTCCCGTTCTTACCGCAGGAGCCCGTCTGTCGAAACGTCCCCCGAGGTTTGTGCAGTTTCCGAAGCTCGACTGACAGCCTGGTCCACAGTGGGCGGCTGAGCTACCGCAGTAGCCGCTAGACGAGCAACAGTCTCCATAAATGGAGCCCTTGCAGAGAAGACCCTTGGTGCCGGCGCAGGTACCGTCGTTCGAAATGGTGCCGGGATTGCCACCAGAATCGCCTCCACCACTGCCGCTCCCGGCCGTGCAGTTGCCGAAAGCGGTCTGGCAGCCGGTGCCACAGTGTTCCGCCGCACCGCCGCACCAGCCGCTGGACGAACAACAATCACCGAAGCCTGAACCGAGGCAGATCTTTCCATTGGATCCGCACTTGCCGTCGGAAGAAACGTTGCTCTCGCCCGCACAGGTGCCAAAGGCGCTCTGGCAGGCTGTGCCGCAATGGGCGGACGAGTCGCCGCACCAGTTTCCAGACGAGCAGCACGCCCCGAAGGTCGAGTTGGTACAGATGAACTGGTTTGAGCCTCCGCAGGAACCATCGGGAGACGCGTCACCGGGTCCGGGCGGCGTCACCGGGGGCGGTGGAGGCGCGTCACAATTCCCAAAGGTCGGCTGGCTGCGCAACATTGGTTAGCTGACCTGACTTACTTGACTTCGAAAAGGATGCCAAGCTTGGGAACTCAGGTCATACACAGAGCTCTAGGATTGCTTTTCAGGCTTGTGACATGACTTACCATCCGTCGCCGCAAAAGGCTTTGGATCGACCGCACATGCCGTCCTTTGAGCAACATGCACCCCAGGTGGGGGTACATACCCAACTGTCGACGCCACCACAGCTTCCGTCCTCCGTGATGACACCTGTTTGCCACGGCGGCAGGGCAGGGGACGTTGTACTTTGGCATGTTGTCAATACAGGCAACAGCCAGACAAGAATGAAGGCCTTCATTTGGAGACAGGCCGGTAAAAGAACGTGATGGTCAAAAGGGTACAGATTCGCGATATGAGGCATACAATGAGCTGTCTGAGTGGGTGTTGACATGGCGCAATACCTTCTTATACATTGTCCGAATTCCTGTAAGCGAGACAACATGGTCTATTGCTATGCCTCCCTGCAGCCTCCGGACTCTCGGCTCGCCAACAAGACCGAGATCGGACTTGATGCGGGTGCATTTGACAACATGATGAGGCCTCGCTTGAAGTTGTCGTGATAGAAAAGGGAATTTCCCCTCAAACATTGAGTGCAGTTGGGGTTTTGGAAGTTCCAGGCCAAAGTCAAGTAACATCGTTCTGATACTGCATCCTCCAGGATCTAGCGTGGGAAGAAGTGCATGCTTCCAGATCACACCGAGAACGGCCTAATTCCAGGGGATGGGGGAGCTCCTATTCGCCACATCGTGATAGCCCTGCATGCCTCTGCAGGAATATTTTGCTTACTATCAATTTGCGCTCTCGCCACACGGATACAATAGACACAATAGGAAAGACTCCGGAAGCGACTCAGTCGTAAGTCATCCACATACGGCTCCTACGGAAAGTATCTTAAATCACCATGCTGGTGCCGTAAGCCGAAGTCTTCAGGCTAAGTGCGCAGGCTCGTGTCAAGGTTGCAATGGCTTGATGTTGAGTGCTCTTGGTCACGACCTGCAGGCTGGAAGCGAGACATGACAAAATGATGAGAAATGGGGGTTTTTTATGGAATGAAGCCACTGAAAGGAAAACACTCCTTTACTCGGCCTTGGAGAGCAAGCCCGACTGACCCCTCCACACTACAGCGCCGGTACCGCACACACGAATCATATCGCTCTCCCTATCTGTATGAATCCCATGAAGCTGAGTGATATTCATATAAGAAGGCGTGGGCAGATTGATCCCATGTCCATATTCACCACCACTCATCCGGTTTTCTGCCGTGGTTCAAGCTGCTATGCGGTCCCGATCCTCGACGATCCTCGCAGTATTCGCTGTTGTTGGGATCATACTTCTTTGCTTACCAGCTCTCATCTTTGCCGATGTGACCTACCATCCGAGAGCTGGTCGTACTATCGCCCAGCGTGACTCAGGCAACACTGGTGAGTTCTTTGTCAAAGTTGCATTGTAGTACATGAATGGCTGACAGTACCGCAGATCTGTCGTGGAGAGATCAGATCGTCTTCAGCCCAGCTCATCAAGACCCTGCGAAGGCACCGGCTGTTCCCATCGCTGCCCTCGAAAAGTCCACCACTGCGTCAATTCCCGCTGTCTCCGTCTTCAACCCACGGGGCTTGAACAGTTTCCAGAAGCGTCAAGCTCTTCGCTGTGATGATGGACCTTGTATCGACGGCAGGTATGTTGTGCTCAACACTCGTAGTGACCATAATTGCTGACACGGCTTCGACAGCTGTTGCAGCAAGGAGAAAATCTGCGGCTACGGCCCTTCCTATTGCGGCGCTGGCAACTGTACATCGCAATGCGATGCTACAGCTATGTGTGGAGAGTACAGCGAGAACGCCGAAATGCCATGTGGTATGAAGCTGTGCTGCTCAGCCATGGGATGGTGTGGCGTGAGTCTCTTTGCCCCATATTAGAAATAGATACGACTGGCTTTGGTTCTGGGGAGCTGACAATCAATCTCACGTCTAGACGAGGGACATCTACTGTCACAATGCTGACCCAGTTCACAATACTCTGCCATGTCAAGCAGGATATGGTTCATGCTCAATCACGCCTTCTCCCTCCTGCGCCAAAGGCAGTGGAAGTTCCTCCAAGCGCAAGGTCGGATACTACCAGTCTTGGAACGTTCGTGATCGGAGGTGTAACAAAGTGTCACCATCGCAGCTTGACACAACGGGTTACACCCATCTCTTCTACTCATTTGCATTTATCGACCCCAAGACGTTCAGAATCACGCCAGCCCATTCAGACGATGACAGCATGATGAGGGAATTCACGAAACTCTCGAAGGACGGCAAGCTGCAGACTTGGATTGCTATTGGCGGGTTCGACTTTAGCAATCCTGAAGTCGCGACGCATACCACTTGGTAAGTCTATCACCGCAATCCTAGTCTTTACGGGGCAGCTGGAAGTCTAACATATCTGCAGGAGCGACATGGTCTCTACAAAGGCCAACAGGGCTGCTTTCATAGCATCTGTTAAGGAGTACATGGATACGTATGGGTTCCAGGGCGTCGATCTCGATTGGGAATATCCGGGTGCTCCTGAGCGAGGTGGCCGTAAGCTGGCAGACGTGCGAAACTTCCCAATGTTGCTCCGGGAAATGCGAGCCGCGTATGGAAGCAGCTATGGCATCAGCTTGACGCTTGCACCTGACTACTGGTACCTGCGATGGTTCGATGCGAAGGCCATGGAGCCGAGTGTTGACTTCTTCGGTTTCATGGCTTACGGTAAGACCCGCCCTCCATTTGAGCAACCCTTCCACTTCCGCTATCAGATTTATGAACCACGCAGTCATTTGCTGATCTAGTGTCTTTCATATTACAGACTTGCATGGCTCATGGGATGCTGATGTCTTGGCACTTGGGAAGAAAGTCCGCGGTCAGGCAGACATTCGTGAGATTGCCAATAACACCATACCCCTGTGGTTCGATGGCCTCGACCCAAAGAAGATCAATTTCGGCCTTGCCATGTACGGCCGTGGCTACACTCTGGCAGATCCAAAGTGCAATCAACTTCTCTGCCCCTTCTCCGGCCCGAGCAAACCGGCTCCCTGCACAGCCTTCGGAGGTGTCATGTCTCTCGTCGAGATCAAACAGCTCATCAAGGAACGCGGCATTACTCCACAGTATCTTTCTGACTCTATGATGAAGCAGATCACATGGGACGACCAGTGGATCGGCTACGATGACGAAAGAAACCTTTGCCGCCAAACAAGCATTTTGCGGACGGCATGTGCTTCGGTGGAATAATGGTCTGGAGTATTGACTTCCAGGTCCCTGGTTCGGGCGGGTTCGTCACCTGCCCCTTGAAGCACAGATAAGGTTCCTTGCTGATGACTGATATAGGCACGACCAGAATGAAAACACGGTGTATCTTGATCCCAAGGTCTACGAAGGTACTCCCGCGCAATGTTCAGCTCCATGCGTTTTTGTTCTGCCCCCCAGCGCTTTGCCTTCAGCGACGACAATTCAGATCCCTCCATATTCGACTTCTCTTTCTGTAGCACCCGGAATCACATCGAACATCGTTATTCGCCCACCACCTATCGTCACAAGTTCCCTACAGTTCTCAAATGTCGATGTTACACAGGGCCAGACGACTGGAAATGTTCATCCAACAGTTAGTCTCGACCTTCCACCATTCGTGACCACTATCACCGGTCCTGGCGGTGTTCAGACGAGAACGCTTCTACTGCCGCCGTGGCCGCAAATTACCAACGGGCCGCCTGAAAGCTGGACCACATCAGGAAACCCATGGACGAATCCGGGTGTCACAGGCGTGCCAGTACCTACGGACGTGATCCCCCTTCCACCGCCAGCGATTGTCACGAAGACTCCTTACACGGGTCCCGGAGTGTCGGTCGATCCTTCGGGTACATGGCCCACATCGTTTGATATTCAGCCTGTTACTACAGCCGTTCCTGATGAAGGTGAAGATGATGATGACGATGGTCCAAAGTCCAAATCTACGTGCAACCTATGGTTCTTCTGGGTAGGCTATTACTCTCTAGCTGGAAATACCATCCTTCAGAATGCAGGAGTGCTAACGATCGATGATAGACCTGTATTGACATTGGTGGAATCAAGATTGGTGGATGGGAGTGGAATTTACCACAGGGCATCTGGGGACCGTAAGTGACATAAAAAAAGAGCGTTTCATGCGACTATCTATGTGCTGACGATGTCACTCTTCATAGCGGGCCACCACCTATTGGACGCATCAATCCTCCTCCAGGTTTTACATTCAAAGGGAACTTGCCAAACTGGCCGAAAATCACGTAGGTCCTGATTTCTGAAAGCTGTTCTAGCCTACCTCGGATCAGAACTAACGCAAGCTTCTAACAGCGTTGGGCCTGGCGGCAAGGTGACTGCACCTCCTAAGCCAGCAAGTTGCACTCCAGCAGAGGCATCGCTCTGCGCCACAACAACCTCGTTCGGGACGACCGTGCAGAATGGCGTAACGAGAACGACCACAACGCAAGTCAAGGAGACTTGTGCCACCATTACTGGGTGCAACCTTCGCGACATAGACTCCACAGAGACCGGAAAAGCATGCAATCTGGCGAAACGAACTATCAATCTCACTGGCGTGCCGTTGCCCGACATGACTGCCGCAGCCGAGCCTCCACCTGACATCGCAAAGAGGGCAAATAGTATCTGGGACTGTGAGGAAACCGGCGAAGACGGCATTATTTGGCCACAAGACCCGAAGGAAGGAGGGCAAACACGCATTCGCGCTTTGCTTCAGGAAAGAAAGGATGCTCTTGGGGGCACCCACAGCTGGACGGAAGTCCGCGCAGGAGATCTGGACTACACGGCATTTTACTACGTCGATAACATGGGTCCAGTCGCGCAAGCATATTTCGATTCGGACGAAGTCAAAGAGGTTAGTGCGCGGCGATCCCGATTCACTATCGTTGAGATACCAAATGACCAGGCTAACACTATTGGATCTAGATCAACAGAGCTTACAACTATCGCGCAGATATTGCACCCAGGTTATCCAGAGCCCAGCGAAGGCGCAGCAGAGCAAAGAGGTCTGCTAAAGCGAGCGACAGCCGTACAGATACACGGATACGAGATGAAACACCAGCAAGTGATGGAGCTGAAAAGTTGGACGAAGCCGCCGAGTTATTGAACAATGAGACATCCGACATCGCCAAGCGGGCAACCAGTCCGGAGATCAGTGACAGATGGCATCTGTCTCATATCTCTATCCCCGAACGAGTAGACTGGGATGTGGACGATGACCCGCATATTCCCTCCCAGAATAAGTTTGCGTATTATTTCAACAACAGGGAGGGATCTGGGCAGACGATTTACATTATGGAGGAACGTACGGGTCAGAGCGGAGTAAGTCAATACCTGGGATCTCGCTCCGGACATCTGCAAGCTGACATTATCCTTAAAGGAATTCACAGGGCAGCTGAAAGCACCCCTTTCACCGCATAGCTATCTCAGCTCTATGTGGTACGACGACGATCCTGACGATGTGACGGAAATGCGGCGACACGGGACCGTCATATCTGCCATGGTTGGGGGTGTAGCCTCGGGGATTGCACGACAGGCGAGTTTGGTGGTAGTGCCAACAAAACTGGAAGTGGAAGAGGACTGGCCGCTCGAAATCTTCCTTGCATCCCTTGTTGCAATCTCACAAGATATTGTCAAGGAAAAGAAGTCACAAGACACGACAATCGTCAACATGTCGTTCGGTATCCCTATGAAATACGCAGAGCCGCATTTCTGGACCATCATGCGTAAGTCTCTGACCAGACCAGCAAAAGTAAGAGAAGGCGGCCGGACATTTCTGACTTCTATGACAGGTCAATTAATGGTACTCATGGAGGCAAAATACGGGACCGTTTTTGTTGCTGCATCTGGCAATGCGGAGCCGGATCCTGCCGATGGACCTCTGGTAGACCCGGGGGTCTTTATTGATGCGAATTCCATGCCATACGAAGCCATGCCTTATGTTCCTGGCATGATGGTTGTCGGTGCTTCCAACAGAGAAGGGTATCGGCGAAAGCTGAGTATGGTAGGGACGAACGTCGAATTCTGGGCTCCTGGTGAGCAGCTCCCATATCCTTTGGGCGTCAGTAACCGGCGCCAAATCAATGGCGGATCACCTGGTAAGTACGACACATTTCATCATTCCTTCGACAATCTACGAAATCTTTTCCGTTGCCCTTTGTAGCTAATTACCTTAACCTACCCTCAGCTGCTGGCCTTGTCTCTGGACTTGTTGCGAGCTTGCGCTCAGATCCAACCTTCAGTAACTTTGTCAAGCCGGCACAGCTTAAGCAGCAAATGAAGTCATTAGCCCGCGCTATTTCCTACCAGGGTGTTAACAATGCCGATAAGCCTGTCGTTGTTTACAATGGACAGAGAAAAGACCAGTCTTGCCTACCGAATTCGAATGCCGGCGTCGTCTCAGAGCGCCGACTATCCATACGGCAGGTTGAATCGTGCCCTCTTCCGGGACAGCCGGGCAATCCAGAAGGGGTCCCCGTGCCATCGCTCACTTACAAGCCCGGTCCTCCCGGTCCCTTGTGTACCGCAGACTGTGGTAGGCTCTGTGAGGGTTTCTTCTGTGTACCGCAGCCGACAGGAACACCGCCCGAGTTCACGCCTCCATCCAATCCCGGGGCTACCGGCCCTGGTTGGGTTCCGCCTCCGCCAGTCACCCTGCCCAACCTCCCTACACTACCACCGAGTGAGCCGGGTGTCACACCAGGCCCTGGTACCGTCTGTCTCTCCTCGGCGACTGTCACGCAGTGCAATGGAAGGCCCGGTCAGGCAGTTTGCGTGACCAGCACATCCTGTGCCAGCTTCGGCACTTTAGGACCGTTTCCCACTTTGCCTCCATCTGTTACGAGCCCTCCTGGTGGCAGTTGTGTCTCGACTGCGACGTGGATCATCACAGGCGGTCCAAAGGGCGAGGCGACTGTAACTACGAGCGGCTGCGGAAAATGGACTGTTCCGTCCGCCCCTGAGCCAACGCCTAACCCACCATCGCCACCACCACCACCAGAGCGCAACCACGGCGTTGTGGTCATCAGCTATTATGAATTCGGTCAGTTTACCGTAGGCGGTACTTTCTGGACTCGAGAGCACAGAGCCTTCTCTGTTCCGTTCGGAGGGCAGATCAAGCAATGCAGCGCATCGGCGATAGCCTCACAGAGTGCCCCCGGAGTCCTCGCTTCAGCGAAGCTGCCGACCAAAATGGGGCCTTTCCAGGCTGAGGGGCGCACGTGCGAGTACTCTGGCTCACCTGATAGCCCTGGCCAGCTGAGCTGTGACGGACTGCCGACTGTCTCCTGTGAGGGCGCTTCGCAGACTGATATCTGTGGTTCCGGAACTCCTATCATGGAAGCACTGGCTTTCTGTAGATTCTAGGAAACGGTCTGAACTTTGCCCCTCATTTTCGATAGCTCCTCGATGGTAGTATATCAATTGAACTACGAACTAGAATCCTGAACCTTCGATTCTGATTAAATTGCTAAAATCTATGGAAGGATGGGTGCTAACGAAATGATTCCCTTCCCATACCGTATCTTTAACCGGCCTTGCACGACACTGATACGATTATCCGCAGAGACTGATATTTAAAGATGGCGCAACATTTACAATCCAGTCTTCTCGTCCTTCTGCTCCTGTTGCGTGACCTGCAGCTTCGCATGCGCCTCTGCCCGACCATAGGCAGCCGCAGACTCTGGGCCATCGAAAAGAATGGCCATCTCCTCAAGGGTAGGTCCCTTAGTTTCCACGAAAAAGAAATAAATCACGAGAACCTCAATGACCAAGCTGTTCACCACAGTCAGTCAATAGTTCAAAAAGAGAGTCGCGGCAGAATGGGACCTACACAGCAATGTACACAAAGTAGAACTTCCATGCTAGAGCCTCGAGACCAAGTGGGTTGACCCATTGGTTGAACACGCCTGCGACCGAGGTGCCGAAGAAGCAGAGCATTAGACCCTTGGCTCGGATATTATAAGGCAGAATTTCGACGGTATAGCTGACGGTCAGACCGGGCCAAGCTGCACCGGCAACGCCGTAGAAGACAAAGATCATGGCGACGACGGCGGTGCCGGCAGGCTTCGAGCCCGTCTGCTCATATACCGCGCTGCAGGCAGTCCAGACGGAGAACGAAAGGAGCATGCCGATGCCGGCAAAAAGGAAGAGGAAGCGACGGCCTAGGCGGTCAACGAAGAAGGCGGCGAAGAGGGAGACGAGCCAGCACCAGATGGTCAAGCCGCCGTTGATGTAGGACTGGGTGATGGAGCTTGGTCTTGTCAGCTAAACCTTTTGGGGGCTTTCAAAGTGAAGAAATGCTTACTCTTCGATACCAATGCTGTTGAGAATCACAGAAAGCTGTACGCCAAATAGTCAGTCCTCTGAATACTGCGACAGCCCGGGAGAAGTCTTACATAGTATGAAACCAAACCGTTGCCGCTGCACTGCGAGAAAAAAGCTGTGGCAAGGATGAGATAGCATCGCTTGCGGTTGCCCTTGGTGCGCACCAGCTCCTTCCACCCATTGTTGGCCGCGGCGCTACGCTCCAGCTGAAGAGTATTGGAGATCTCAGCCAGTTCCCAGCGCACAAAAGCATCATTCTCATCGCCGTTGCCGTGGTACTTGACGAGTACCTTGCGCGCGTCCTCATGTCTTTCCTTGCTGATGAGCCATCGAGGGCTCTCGGGGATGAACCAGATTGCGATGAGCAGAATGCCAGGCATGAGGCACTGGAGTCCCATAGGAAGACGCCACTGCAGGTCGCCAGACAGATTGTCGAGAGTTCCGAAGCAGGTCCATGCAGCGATGATGGCCTGTTGGGTACTGTCAGTCTCTCCCCCTATTTCGAATCTTGGCTTTCCTGTCCAAGGTACTTACACCGAGATACCAGATTGTGTTGTAGATGGTCGTGATTCTGGCGCGGTGCCTTGGGTGCGAAACTTCAGTGATGAGGAGAGGAGCGGTGGCATTCGAAACGTTGCTAGTTCCATGTCAGAGAATCACGCTTTGAAAAGCATTTGAACTCGATTTACCTTCCAGCACCCATCAGAATACGACCGATCAGGAAGAGCGCATCGCGGCTGCTGTGGGGATACGATTGTGTCAACGCCTGCATCAAGGCGCCAGCAACAATCATTGAGCAGCCGACGGCGGTTCCAATCTTGCGGCCGAGTACATCGGCGAGATACGGCGCGATGGGCAGAACAGCCAGGCCACCGAGACCGGGAACGGCACTGTAAAGACCTAGGCGAGAACCAGTGGGATGATCAAAGTCTGGTGCGCAGAAAGCTTGTTAGCCAAGTGTGTCGAGGGCACCCCGACGAATGGCGAGGACAAGCTTACAAGCCTGCCATGTGTCCATGGTTTGAAGTCCGTTAAGCAGACTGCCGTCAAAACCGAGAGTTGATGATGCGAGAAACAGAAACGGCATCATGAAATACAACTTTCGGAGTTCCGTCTGCTTGTACCAGGGCAAGGGGTTATCCTTCGGAGTGAGTTCCTCCTCGGTAACGTCAGGATCGACATGGTCAACCATTGCGTCCTGTTTCGCCGACATGTTGATGATGAACGAGGTTGAGGTCGAAATATCAGGTCCAAGACCTTGAAGAAATTGAAACACGTGTCAATGCTTGGCTGAGTCGCAGTGAAGGTTGAGAATCGTGATTGTAAAGATCGACGGGGGCAGAGAGACTTATAGATTTCTGCCAATGCATCGTCAGGCGTATCCCAAATGCTCTCTGATGCAGGCTTCGTCCCGATCGATGGCCTGTTGAAGGCGACTGCTGGAGATCAGCTCCCCTTCGGCTCTCGGACTTGCTCTCGCAGGAAGAACCGACAGCTCGGTTTGGTTGAACTTGAAGCCATGGATGTGTTCGTCCCCACGGGGAAGAAATGGCGGAGACGGCCCAGAACACGCTGACTCGAAAGGTCATAGTCTGCTTTGCCGGGCCAATTACACTATTGACTAGCATGACTCGGTTTTCGCGTAGGTCCGGAGACTCGTTCCAGCACACAAGGGGGGCAGGTTCTCAGCTCCGACGTTTCTGCGATCGTCTGCATTCAAGTTCCTTCATGCTCCGATCTTTCTCCTCGGACTCATCTTGCCTGCCCTCCTTCTCAACTTGACAATTACCGCCAACTATGGAAACTGGGGAAGCAGCATCGCAAAGCGGATCGTCGCCAGAGAACCCCAGATTACCCCAAACGACAGCATCCGTGGAGTCTCCAGGATCAGTGTCGGGGTCCAAGAGACCCACTGCTTCTGCGAAGAATCAACGAGCTTGTGACGGCTGTCGCGCGCGAAAAGTCAGGGTGAGTCGTATGCACTGACGCTTGGCCACGAGATGTCGGGCAGTCTGATGGGGCCTAAACCTGTCATTGCACATCCCCTGTCGCCTGGCCTAGCATAACAGCTACGTTATTGGAGCGGCTTACTGACATGGCGGGCATGGACCTCAGTGCTTGTACGGATCAGGCGAACAACGATGTCAGGGATGTATCTTCCTCGACATTGCCTGCACCCATCTTCGTCCGAGGAGGCGGCGAGGCCCACAGAACAAGTACTTCACTGCATTATTCTGTATTATTTCCGTTGTCTTGCTCGTCAGCTAACTGCTGATCAGACACGCACACAATGCCATACATGAAGAACGAACTCAACTGCCGTTGGCACCATCCCATCAATCTCCAGAGCATGAACCGCCTCAAGCTCTAGCTGGTATTGTCGGCTCCGGCTCTGGCTCGGAGGCGGCAAGTTCGCCCCAATTACTCCGGATAGCATCAGCTGTATCCCCGATGCCTCAGCAGAGCCACTGGCTTTCTCTCTTTGCCCCTGAACCCACGATTCTTCGTATACTCAACGACTGGTTCGAAAGGGTGCACGCTCTTGCCCCAGTTCTCGTTCGTCGGCGCTTCATGCGGCGCTTCAGAAGCAGAGAAGCAGACCACAATGCTACTTTCTGTGGCCTCGTCATCAGTGTCTGCATGGCAACCTGTGCTACATTGCGGAGAGAAGACTATGGCGATGCGACGGCCGAAAAAGGGGCCACCTTCATTCAGTACCATCGGTTGCTTGAAGTTGACAGCAGCGGTCAAAACGCGTATACTCTGGATTGGTGCGTGGCCATGTATAATCTCGGCATGTCAGCAAGTTCTCTTGCAACGGGCGGGTTGAAGTCGACCAGCTCGTATCATGCCTTATCCATGGCCGCCATTGGGGTTCGGTATATTGCATATTACTGTATGAAGGATCATGACTTTGTCGAACAGCAACAGGCTAAGAGGCTTTTCATGCTAATCTTTGCTGGCTCCCAGTACGTTGTTCTTGTTCTTCTCCCTTGTTTCGATGTGTCCCGCTGCATGACTTTCACTCTACAGCACCAAGGGGGAGGGGGGCGAGGCGTAATATGAGCTAACATCCGTTCAGAAGCGGGGACGCATTTGGCATGTTGACGCCAAATATTGCATCCTATCAGGATAATTGGCCTCAGCTTCGCCCATTGCCTCTCACAGACGACGAGCTGGATCCCACCGGCAAGGACCTTGATCCCCTGGCGGCGGAGGATACCGCATGGCACGGTAACAACACGAGCTACATCCCCGGTCTGCTGCGTCTTAGCGACATATTCTGGGTCTGGCACGAGGCTCAAACCATCCCGGCAGCCATGCTTGGCGGGGTCGAGGCCGCTTTGGCGCGGTACTTGGCCCAAGTGCAGCAGGTGATCGACTCCTTACCACCGGAGCTCCGATGGCGCGGCGGGCTGTCAAGGCCGGCGCATGTCACCGAGGGACACGATGCTCAAGTAGTCAACATCTTCATCACGTCTTTGCATATAAGGTCCAACTTGCTGGAGAAATTCGGATCGACGTCCGGCAGTCACGAGGAGCATCAAAGGATCGTGGATGATCTGCTCGAGATACTGTATCATCTTCCCCAGGCCGTGTTCGACGCCAACGGGAGTAGTTTGGTGCCCAAGATTCGTGATATAGGGGCTTCGTACTTGGAGCAGGCTCAGAAGATCCAGGGAATGGGAGATGATGTCAAGGAGAAGATGGAGCGTTTGTCACGTAGGCTGCACGATCTTGATTGCTGGCCAGGCCATCCGACTGGGTATTAGCCACGACAACACGAAGATACGAGTCCAGACAAGCATCATGATTATCTTGATTCGCACACACACGGTGCTCGCTTTCGCAAAGACGCCCAGCAGAACATGGCATAATGCAGACTAAATGAGCCGATAGCCGCGCATTCGTCCTCCTCTCGAACCGCATTTCACAGCAGTGGGGAATGCCATGTGGCTCGGCTCTAAGCTGGAGACATGGTGGTTTTGTAGTTTCTGCGAAGTATTTGCGGCGCCAACCACATCAGGAAAAGGGTGGTGGGTTCGACATCGGGAGGCGGCTGTCGATCAGACCACGCGGACAGCCATGGTCAAAGTTGCCGGAGGCACTCGAGCCCTGCTTCCGATGATCTTGGCCAACAACGCAGATATGCGGAGACCTCGTTCGGACGTGGGGTTGTGAACCCGCCAGTTTTGGGGAAATCTAGAGTCAGCTCCGAAGTTTGTTCGAAGACGCACTTTGGTGTTCTCGGCGTCGGCGAAACATGCCCATTGCATTGATCATCTTCTTCTGGTCACGATAGCTTAAAACTGTGCGTCTCTTCTTGACTTTCAGACCTCGTAACAAGACAACATCTCTTCCCTTCTCTTGCTTTTTCTCCCAATCTCTCACGCCTCTCCTGTCATCTCTTGTATTGTATGCCATCTACAACATCATGACGGCCTTCGAAGATACACCCGTTATCCGGGCCCCAAGCCTGTCCTCCGACAAGCTTCCTCACTTGCGCCGCTCTGAGAACGGCAATACAAATCTCATTGTCAACGGCAAACCCTTCCTCATGCTCGCTGGCGAGCTTGGAAACTCTGCACTCAGTTCGGCCCGCTACATGTCAGAGGTGTGGCCCGCCATGAGGGCGCAGTCTATCAACACCCTCCTTGGCTCTGTGGCGTGGGAAGACATCGAGCCTCGCGAGGGCCACTTCGACTTCTCCGAGCTTGATCGGGTCCTAGCTGGCGCCCGCGAGCACAACATGCACCTCGTCTTGCTATGGTTCGGTACCTACAAGAACGGTATCTCTACGTATGCACCGTCATGGGTCAAGCGCGATGTTAAGCGTTTCCCCCGTGTTCAGATTCTTCAGGCTGGCGGCGTGAAGAAGACGATCGAAATGGTGTCGCCCTTCAGCGAAGAGGCTTGTGCGGCGGACTGCCGCGCCTTTTCAGAGCTCATGCGTCACCTTGCCCAGGTCGACGCTGAGCACAACACAGTCCTCATGGTCCAGGTTGAGAACGAGACGGGTCTCCTGGGTGATTCGCGCGACCGTTCGCATCGCGCAAACGCGGCTTTCGAGAAGCCTGTCCCGGAGTCGCTGCTGAAGCACCTCTCGACCGTTGATACCCATCCGACCTTCAAGGCCCGTTACAGCAATATTCCCTCATCGGGCGATCACTCGTGGTCCTCTGTTTTTGGCGCGGGCAACAACGCCAACGAAGCCTTCATGGCCCACCATATCTCCACCTACGTCGGTCGCGTCGCCGCCGCCGGCAAGCAGCACTACAACATCCCTTTCTACACAAACTGCTGGCTCAACTTCGACGACCCCTCTGAGCTGGACACGCGGGACTTTCCCATCGTCGTCGGTGGAGGCGCCGCGCCGGGGAGACTACCCGTCCGGCGGGCCTTGCCCCCACGTCCTCGACATCTGGCGCCACAACACCCCAGCGCTCGATTTCCTGGCGCCGGACCTCTACTTCCACCACTACGAGTCCGTGTGCAAGGACTACACGCAGCAGGGCAACCCGCTTTTCATCCCCGAGCAGCGCCGCGACGCCAACGGCGCGCGCAGGTCCTGGCTCGCGTTTGCGACCTACGGCGCCCTCGGCACCGGCCCGTTCGGCATCGACACGGGCGCCGAGGCATTCGGCCGCGAGTACAAGCTTCTGGCGCAGACGCAGGAGCACCTCCTCGCCGCGGGGCCGGCCGACCGCTTCGGCTTCTTCTTCGACGAAGAGCCGTCGCCCGGCAGCACGGAGCGGTGGACCAAGGTCATTGGCGATTTTGAGGTCATCGTAGAGCGGTGCTTTGTCTTCGGTAAGCAGAGCTCCGGCGCCGGCATGGTTATTCACAAGGGCAAAGGCAAGTTCCTCGCCGTCGGACGAGGCTTCCACGTCTACTTCAAGAGCGTGAGGCCCGAGGCGACGTTCACCGGCATCCTGCGTGCCGAGGAGAAGGAGGTCACAGAGACGGGCGAGCTGAGGACACTGAGAGTGTTCAATGGTGATGAGACAAGGAGCGGTGAATTCCTCATGATGCCGAATGACGACCCTGACTATGGCGGTTTCCCTATCGCGGTGACGATTCCTGCGCGGACGTGCATTGCCGAGCTGGAAGCTTACTGGATTGCCGAGGCTGAAGAGGACAGGTAAAGAGCATGCCAAGAGTATCGATAGTTTTAAAGAGTTATATGAACAGCGGCCTCTTTTTTCAGAACACTGCCTCACATTAGCTCGCAATATTTCACGGAATGCAATCTGGCTCTGAATGAAAGATCTCCATTACGCGCTCCACACCAACATCCGCAGAAGTCCTGGCAGCCATGTCTCATCCTCTCCCAGGCAGCGGATGCTCATCGGCAGGCACGAACTCGTTGTCGGAAATGAGCTGAGCAATTGGCTCGTACCGCCATCGACTCACGTATGCCGGCGTCAGGTTGACGCCCCCGTTGCTCGTAGCATACGCTCCCACGAGGGTTCCTATCATGCTTGATTAGCACAAGAGCCTGTTACGTGAGACATGACGTACCCATGAACTGCCCCGAACCACCACTCATGAACCACGCGCTGACACTGCCAAGAATGATCTTGTCGCTCTCCTTACCGCCCGACCCTACGGATGCCGCGTTGAACACATAGTGCGTCTCGTTGACTGCTGAAATCTGCAGCCTGACCGGCTTACCCAGCCAGGCGCACGGGACCTTGTGGAGCGCCGACTCGGGCTCCGAGGCGAGTGGTTCTCCTTCGTACCCCTCTTTGCCGGAAAGTTCATACTTGAAACGGAAATACATGGCAAGACGACCATCGGGTGCTTTGAGGCGGACGTATCCCAGATCAACATGCTGGAACTGCGTCAAAAAGAGCGTAACGCCCGCTTCTTCGTTCTCTTCACTAGGGTGAAAAGTTAGGTCAACACTAAAGTTGAAGATGGTATGAGACTGTTTTCGTGCAATGAAAGTCAGGGGGTGAATGCCGGCGTTGGGGTCCCCGATGAGTTCAGGAGGTACAGCGGAATCAAGAGAGTACTTTGTTGGCGTGAGTCGTAGCATATTGGCATGATCTTCGGGAGAAACGGTGAATCGCTCGGTTCTATTTTGCTGAATTCGCCAGTGGATGAGGTTTCTCGGGATGGAAGACCCGGGCGCAAAGTCATACTCGTCACCGTCCGATAACCAGGGCCCTTCGCCAGCTACATCGAGATTCTTCGGTGGTAGAGGCCCCGACATGCGACCGCGGACCGGTGCGAGGACTGGCCATTCGCCTTCATCCCATGTCATCGGATACAAATGAGACTCTCGACCCATGGGGTAAATCTGCCACTCGGGACCCGAGCGACAGGCCAAAGCGACACCCCACCAATTTCCTTTGACGTCTTGGAAGAAGTCGGCATGCCCAACGCATTGAATGTATTCGTCTGTGTTCTTGTTGGTTAAGATGGGATTGTTTTCATAACCCTCAAACGGTCCCTCAGGGTCTTTTCCGCGGGCAATGGTGACAGTGTGATTAGTCTCAGTACCACCCTCCGAGACGAGTAGGTAGTACCATCCATCCTTCTTGTAGATGTGTGGCCCTTCTGGGTTACGACCACCTGTGCCGCTCCAAAGGCGAATAGGCTCGCTCGTCTCGCCAGTGGCCATGTTAAACCTGGATTGCACAATTCTATCGCCTGCTGACATGGACACGTACAACGTCCCATTGTCTATGAAGAAGTCAGGGTCGATGGAGTTGGTAGGGTTGTCCATCCAGATCGGGTCGGTCCAGGAATCAGTATCAAAAGGGTTGGCTGTCGAGACGACGAATATCTGCTGGAACCAGGTGTTGAACAGAATGTAAGGTGAAATGATATAGAGTCGACCTTCATGGTAGCGCAAAGTCGGGGCCCAAATGCCCTGATGTTGAATCGAGCCGTCGGTAAGAAGCTCGGGCAACTGCGTTTCGCGAATCAAAGCATGGCTGACAAGCTTCCAGTTGATCAGGTCCTTGCTTGCATAAATTGGAATGCCGGGGAATGTCAGAAACGACGAAAAGGCGCAGAAGTGTGTATTGTCGAGTTCTGGGACGAATGTACAGGTAGGATCCGTGTGCCAGCCAGGAAAGACTGGATTATAAAATGTGGTGTTTTCAACAGCCATTGTAGCTCTGAGTGTCGTCAGGACCACGCGGCTAATGAATTGGAGGCGCATTTTGCAACTTTTTCAAGAGACTGGGGTCTTATCACCTCTCACCTTGTATCCAGTGGTTGCCACGGACTGTTTGAGAAGATCGTTTCAGCAAGCTCAGTTTTATACTTGAGGCCAACAATGAGCTCGCACAACGGAATTGGAGATCCTGAGCCGGTAATCCCGCCAATTGCACTTCACACTTGCCAGTACGATCGGCACGATCCAGATGCCGGGCGGGCTTCGGAAAGCAACTCGCGAAGGTCTTTGCGTCACGCTGCGTCTTGGTCTGGCGAACTGGTCGACGGACTTGGGTGTCCGTAACGTTGCTGCATTTGAGAGGGCAGTATGTCAATGAGAGACGAATCATTGACTTGAATGCCAGATGAACACTAGAGTTTTGCAATAGTCCGAAACCTTCGGGACGGAGTTTCTCGGTATGTCGCACAGTTAGGTTGGCCCGCCCGAACATTTTACCCCGGATACTGAGGTGAGGTCCTCGTCCTCCTAAAGCGGTCGAATTGGAAGACTCCAAAGCCGATGAACTCCACCCATCCTCAGTGTCAGATGCTTGCCGGTCAACGGTGACCCCTCACGAACGAACGAGGGGCCCTGGCCAAGGCTCCGCGGCTAAAGAAGAGATTGTCCGAAGCAAGAGCCTAACAGCTTATCGACAGTGGTGTCATGCCTGAGAGGGCACCAGACCTGTGAGGACTGGCAGGTCGTCCTCGTATTTCGTACCTGCGGAGGAACTGAAAACTGTTGTACGAGTCGGTGGCCAATTGAGTGACCGAGGTCATCACATGGCTATATCTGCCTCTCACAGACTTCGGAGAATGACTGGGGGGCAAAGTGGTAGTAAGGTGACAGAAGGCTTTGCTCCTGAATTGGGTTTACCCAGTTTCAATCATCATACCAGTGACGAGGTAAAAGTGAGGGGGAACCAAAAGGAAGATTCCTCAAGACCCCTTGAGTTTTTCCATCTCAAGCGGTGCTGCTTGAACTTGGTAGCACAAAATGCACATCGCTGGCAGGACAGGATAATGAAATGGATGGAAACAAACAGCAGGAGCATGTCGCAGGAAGACTGGTCACCATGCCGAGAACAGAGTGGGGCTCGGTGAAGCTATGCCTTTCGGGTCGGTGAGCACTCAGCGATAAGAGCGCTCGGAGACGGATTCTCTTTCTGCCGGCCTTATCATGCATGAAATTTTGACAGCGGCATTGTTCGACAGCTACTTGCATCGCGAAGCTGTACCTTCTAGCTTTGTACATCCCATCGCTTCACCAATACATCCATAATCATCCTTCCCACCTCATCACCGTTTCCCACTCTTCAAATATGCTCTCCATCAGAACCGCCGCGCGCTCTGCGCCCCGCGCCCTCGGCCGCCTGGCCAGGCAAACCCCCGTCGCCCGCCCCAACACCCTCTTCAAGACTTCCTCCCCCCTGAGCGCCGCGCTCCGCACACAACGCGCCTCCGCCTTTTCCACAACCGTCTTCCGCCGTGCCGCCGAGTCGGATGAGGAGCTCGCGGCAAAGCTCGAGAGCGAGCTTCAGTTTGAGGAGGAGGTCAAGCAGAACGAGCAGTTGCCCGCCAGCGTCAAGGACTTCCTTGACAACAGCCCCTTTGAGCTGCACGACACCCCCGGCAAGGAGGACGTCAAGCTGACGCGCACTTTTGGTGACGAGAAGTATGTGTGATCACAGACGCATCTCGTCGACACGTTCAAAGAGACTAACCAATGCCAGGATCACCATCACCTTCTCCATCGCCGACCTCGCCAACTACGATCCCGACATGTACGAGCAGGACCGCGCCCTCGAGGATGAGGACGACATCGACGCCTCGGACATCCAGAATGCCAACAAGCAGGCCAACGTGCCCGCCACTGGTGGCGCCCGCTCGGCGCAGGCCGAGGAGGATCTCGAGGTCGAGGAGGAGGAGGACCTCGACGACGACGCCGCGCCCCCGACGCGCCTGTCCATCGTCGTCGAGAAGCCCGGCCGCTCCCCCGGCGCCCTCAACATCGACGCCGTCGCCCAGGACGGCTCCATCATTGTCGAGAACATGTTCTACTACGAGGACGCCGCCCTCGCCACGCCCACCACCCCCGAGGGCGCCCAGAAGAAGGCCGACGTCTACCCCGGCCCTCCCTTCGGCAGCCTTGACGAGGACCTGCAGATCCTGATGGAGCGCTACCTCGAGGAGCGCGGCGTCACCCAGGCGCTGGCCGTCTTCGCGCCCGACTATGTCGACGTCAAGGAGCAGAAGGAGTACGTGCGCTGGCTCAGCAACGTCAAGGGCTTCATCAGCGCTTGATCTGGTCATTCCGGCGAAGCGAGGCGAACAAAAACAGAAGTTAGAAAATGTACGATGGCGGATAATGCGGGGGGGGAGGGACGCAAGTGTATGATTGACGGAACTCATCTTTGAGGATTCTCACGGATGTCTTAACAAGCCTTTTCCACTCATTGTTGTACCATAGACCTGGACCAAACGTCCAACGACGGCTTGTCCGTAGCGAGAATACCAGACAATTCTCTGTACCCACCATGCAGAACGGGGTCTAGATTGCTCCATGTCATGAGAAGCAGCGACTCAGGACTGCCTCTTCAGTGATATCATGCTAAATAAAAGTCCAGCAGAATCCGATACACGCGATACATGGTGGTTGGTCGGCTAGCTAAAGTTCATCAATCGTGATTCATCATGCGTTCGCAACCCCAGTTACTCAGGTTGGTCTGGCTGGACATCGCAACAGTTCCCGCTCGAAGCGTCACGAAGGTTCGCCAACGCGAGCTTCAAGTCCTACCTTCTCACTCGGGAACACCAATGACCTCGGTGGATGGTATTAACAGTGATAGGGATCCTGTGAATCAACATCGACCACCATGAAATCGCTCCCCGTTTCAGAACGACGTATAATCCGTCTCGAAGCTCCGGGCTGTCACGCTTCAAAGCGCTCCCAGCTTCCACAGCTTGCACGTCAGTTCTAAACTGCCTCATATCAGGATCATTGGTGGGCAGCCCATTTGAACAATTGGGCCGGTAAGGTAGGGCATTGCAACCTAGGAGTAACAATATACACCAAACGCCTGGGCGCGTCTTCTCATCCCCCAATCCCCCTTCCCACACCCAGCCTCACGTGTCCAGCGAAGAAGAAGAAAAAGCAGAACCATCGATGAAAACACAATGCCCAATGTGGTAGTACCCCGTGTGCAAAGGGTTGGGGGGGGGGGTTCTCCCCAAATCGCCATCTACTCAAAACGAGAGACAATAATCAGAACCTGAGCAATGCAACCAACTACACCATCGATTCCCCACCCAAACTTTCCCCTTCTATCCCAAGCCCTGAAGAATCAACAAATCGTAACATCCGCACTCGAATGAGACTGGCACCCCGCGCGACTTGATCGTCCAAATGAGCATCCCTCCCTGATAAATAAAAAAAGAGAGGGCAGAAAACGAAAGGCCGTGAGCTTATAACCAACCCTCTCGTCCGCTCTCACTCGTCCCCGCTAACCCCTACATGCATCAAACCCAAACACGCTGGAACAGATTCACTCTCGCCTGAATCACTCTCGCTTCAGGCAGCGATCGGAGCGGCGGCCGGAGCGGCACCGACGACATCGTCAATGTTCCACTCAGCCTGCTGCGCCCGCTTCAGCACCTCCCTGCCCTTGTCCGTGAGCACTGGCTGGCCCCCGTTGCCCGTGACCTGCTGGAAGAAGACGGGCTGCCAGGTTGTGCCGGCAGCCTCGCGCTCGCGCGCCTTCTCGCGCTGCCTCTCCTCGAGCTCCTGCTTGACCTGCGTCGCCTTGCCAAACTGCTTGGCGTGGATGGCCTCAGTGACGCCGCCCCAGAGCGAGAGCGACTCGTACTCTTGCTGCTTGTCGGCGGGGGGCACGACTTTGGGGGCCACATTGAGTGGAAGGAGGTCGATGATGGTGAAGCGCGCCTCGGGTGGATGGGAGTCCTGCAGTTACACATTGGGTAGACGTCTGCTCTG